TAGCATTGTCTACGGGCTTTATGTGTGTGACCTGATCTAGGAGATCCTTTGTCATACATTATGGCAACAGTTCAGTGGAAGGGGATGATTTCTACTGATTTGAGAAGACTACAGTGTCAGAATTTGATTTTGAGCTTCCTGACATTTTCACAGCTTTACAGACAGAAATGAGAAACAGCAGTAATTTATCTGTTGTGTTCTTTCTTTGTTGAGTGACTACTATGTATGTTACATGGCAAGAAAACCACTAAATATGCTATCTTTTAAAATTTTCATTACAATTCTATAATGTAGATATTACCCTTTCACAGATGAGGAAGTTGAGACTCAAAGATAGTAAGTAACTCACCCAAAGTCACACAAATAGTACCTGGTGGAACCAGGATTTAAACCCATGTTTGGGTGACACTAACATTTTTGTAGCTAACGACTAAGTTATTCTGCCATTTAGAACATCTTTTCCATTAACCACCAAAATTAAAAACAAAACAAACAAAAAAAAGTCAGATACTTCCAGGAAGGAGTTACCAGTTTCCTTTGTAGGGGACTGGAATTGGCCACCACAAGATACCTCTCTTTGGCATGAGGATTATTTGGGGCTGGTTACTTTTGAAAACTGCAGACATGAGAGAGACTTTGAAAAGTAGAATTTAATCCTTTGTTAAGAGACATTTACTTTTGTAAAGGAAATCTCCATCTGTAAATGTGTCTCCCTCTCTGTACCAGGAAGAAGGGTGGATGACCTTGTCTCTAGAAACTCTTAATCCATACGGAAGGCAAGGACTTAAATATGTATAATAACCTGACCCTTGTTTACTGTGTTTTTCTGGTAATCTCCCATAACTGACTCCCCCAACCCCCAACATCCTCCTTTGTCTTTAGCTGAGGATGGTGTTTAAGATGAAAAATTCTGCCATTTTGGCAAGTTGCTCAGTTTTCCTGAGCCTCTCCCATGTATACAGGTTGTAAAGCTTTGTTTAATTTTCTCCTGTTATTCTTTCTCATGTGAATTTAATTCATTGTCCAGCCAGAAGGACCCAGAGTGGGCAGAGGAAATGTCTTCCTCCCCTACACCTTGGAGATAAATATCCCTTCTCTACATTTCTGGTGAAAATATGCCACCAAACAAACAAACGAAAAAACCTACTGGTATGTAAGCAAATTCAGTTATTGACTGAGATTAGAAAATAGAGTAGGTAGACTCAGCTATAGTGTCAACTAACAGCATTTGATGCTCATGCTATTAGGAACTCAGAAATCTAACCTCAGTCATTAAAAAACAGTCTTTCCACAGAAGGAATCCTGGTAGGAGGGCAGCATATTGACATGGGAGAGATTTGGCATTTACAGCACCCACATGATGTAGAGGGTGGTAAAAGTGAAAAGAAAAAAAGCAGGAGCAAAGAAAATATTTTAAAGTATTACTGTGTGTTTGTGTCAAGAAAGAAAACACTGCTCAGCACAGCAGCAAAACACTTTTAATTAGGGGTCTATTAATCTTCAATATTCAGCAATCTATGAACCATTCCAAATTATAGTTAGTTATAAATAAACTCAATCTTTTCAGACATTGAATCTTCATAACTGACTGAAGCATGGTGGAGATTACCCTTCGATGTTGCTGCTAGTGTCTAAGGCAGCTTAAAGATTCCAGTGCATTTTTAATCCATAATTTTTTCTAATTTTGACTTCTCAAATATTCTCTGAAGAGCTATGACTGCCTTCCGACGTATAGAGTCTGGTGGTTTGATTAACTAGTCCCACAAAGTGTATGAAAAAGCAGGAGGTAAACTGCTCCATGCCGTGTCCCCAAAGCAATTTGCATCATATTTAAGGCTACCTGACACCACCAGTGAACGAGATGCTCAAAAAGGATTTCTCAGCCTTTGACTTTTCAGAGGCTATAGAACAGCTGAAGGCTGGAGTGTCATTAACAGATGAGATTTGTTCAACTTACCCCATCCTCCTGCTCTTCCCAGCTTAATTGGCATGTCAGTCTATGGATCCATCCTGTGATAAAAGGCCAAATGTCTACCGATTCTCCCGGCCTGACTGGTGAGTTTTAAGGGGCTCTGGAGTTGCTCATAGACAATGAGACCATTCAGTGAATCTTGCTATTGAAGTTGACAAAGAAGCAGACTGAGTGTAGGGACGAGTATTTCCACATGCATTATTCTAGTTGTCAGATGCACCATCCAAAGAGAATTGAAGGAGATATGGGGCCACTGGCTTATGTAGTGGCTTTCTTTCTTTTCTTTTTTTTTTCCCTTAAGAATAGAACAACTAAATGTAACAATAAAATCCAAACTCTTGGGTAAGGAAAGATTTCAGTTTATGAAATAAGAAAGAAGGTTTGGAAAGAAGAAAAATACAGTTCTAGAAAAAAAATATAATATCCTGAAATCAGGTTTTCTTTTCTGTTGCTGTTTTGTTTGTTTGGCTGTGCTAACACTCTCTCAGCCAGTGTATCCTCCCTGTTGTGTGTATTCTGCAGTATCTGCAGTTCAATCTGATGTGACTGGTAAACTGTTTTGACCCACAATATCTGCGAAAAGATGTTTAAGTGCTAGGACTGAACTATTAAAAAAAGAACCCAAAGAAGTATATCAAGTGGGAGGTTAATAGACCTTTAATTATGGTTGGAGGTACATTTCTTGTTCAGGAAATGGACAGGAAGGTAAGGACATCAGGGATTTCTGGAAACACTATGAGAAGCATCAGAAATATCTTTGCATCCTGGGCTGTTTGACCAGTTATAAAAAAGGTAGTGGAGCCTGTCGTGAGTTCAGGTGATTGAACAAAAGGATGATCAAGTGCCAGTGAAAGATGCTAGAACTGCGTTGCCACAGGGACAACATGACAAGGACAGATGGCCCTGATTCAGTCACCCCTCCCATTTAGAACCTCATTTTCCTACTAAGTGAAGTAGGTGAGCACAGTTGTATGTCCATCTTCCTTTTGAGAAATAGTTAACTATTGTTTGTCCAGCTAAGCTCATGTCTGTGTCTTTCAAGCTTTATCTTCCACTCCTCCTTTTACGTTTCTTACCTGCCAGTCTAACCCAGTTATTGACTGCTACCTGAACGTGTTTTCTGTTTCTATGTCTTTTCTCATGCTGTTCTATCAGCTAGTCTGCCCTTTCTTCCATCATATTCCATCTGTCAGGCCCTGGCTACTGTGCTGCCTCTTTTCCAAAGACTTTCCTGGTGTTCCCAGGAGAAAGAAATCTTTCCCTCTCTTGAGTTCCTCTCATCACTTTTTTAATCTCTCTGATTGAATTCATATTTTACCTTATGCCATGGTTATCTCCCCTACTGTCGAAAAATCTCCTTGTCTATCCCATCCTTAATATGAAACTATATTTTAATCATCTCATTATAATTTCTATCTTATCAATAGAAAACAATATAAAAGTAAAGAATGAAGATTTTCTAAGATGACATTTTTATTTAATTTTTTATATTATATTCTTTAAAGTTATATAATGATATTCTGAAATGAGTGTTTGTATAGTAATGATGAATAAGAAGTAATTTAAATGGAGAAAGTACATAGTTAAGAAATTCTGTGTGCTTAGCATAAAATGTCATCCAGTAAGAATTCAATAAAACCTTCATCATTCCTCATTATATTCATTCATGAATTTATTGGATAAATATAAATTATAAGACATTTGTGGACAAGTTACTCAGAAACTATAATATGCAGAGAGAGAAGTTAGGGGTATAAGAAGATATCTCAGGTCCTTGCAACAACCATGCAAGACAGATATTATTATCTTAGCTTACATATGATAAAACCAAAGTTTATGAAGAGTAAATGACTTGCTAAAGGGAACATAGCTAATATAGCTGACTATTCCAAAGCCTGGCCTTAAAAATTCCAGCCTTCAAAATTAACAAAAGAAATTTCAGTAAGAGATGAAGACAAGGCAGCTACTGAGGAAGAAGTATCTCCCTTCTTCATTTGTTGATTGATTGATTGAATCATTCACTCATTCATTCATTCATTCATTTGACAAATATTTTTGAGCCCCATATTATCCACTGATCCAGAGGCTGGGATACAGCAGTAAACAAATATATTTGGTCACAAAAGAGCTGCTGAATCTCTAGCCATCACATCTGCATTCTAGGCAAAAGAAAGGGAAAAGGGAAGAGACTTATCCTAGACTCTTCCTTTTAAAGAAGTTTTGCTGAAAGTCATTCTTAAACCTGTTTCTTATAGCTTACTGGCCACTACTTAATCACATAGCCACTCCCATCTTCAAGGCAGGCTGAGGAGTGTAGTTTTCAGTTACACACATTAATATTGCCGCAACGACTATTTAGGGTTAAAATTTGTGGAGAAAAATGTACAATGGCTAGTTGGTGGGCAGCTAGCCATCTCTGACACTCTTCTCCAAAACCATTATACACAGAATAATCAGAGTGATCTGCTAGTACTGTCTGGCTTTTAACTGATCTAGCCCAGTACCTAAAAAGGGTTCCTAGCCCACAGCTGGGAAGCCTACCCGTCCTTCTCTATCTACTCCTCTTCCATATCCTTGTTCAGTCTCCTTCAAGGTCATCATAGCTTTATATAGAAGAGCATGGCCATTCTATTTCACTCACATCTCTCCTTTTGGCTCAAATAAATTATGCATATTTCAGCATAATCAAGGACAAACCAAGATGTCAAAGTAGGTACACAAGAAATATTAATTGTCTGAGAAAGGGAACTAAAAGAAAAAGAAAGCAATAAAAAATGATAGCACACAAGTAAAAAAGTCCATTTAAGTTAAATTTAAACAATAGCCAAAAGATAGGAAATATTTATATTTAACTATTCAAGTCATTAAGAAGAATTAGAGAAGTACTTTTTAATCAATATAATTAACAAATTTACTTATTATTTTCAAAGGAGGAGATGAATAAAGGATTGCCCCATTTCCTGAATTGCTCATCATTTTAGGGAAAAATTTTCACTTGGAAAAATGGCAAGAATTAAAAAAAAGTTACCTTCTAAAGCAAATGTCATATCAGCAGTATAGAGAACAGGAAATCTGAAGATACTGAATGCCTTTTGGATGTTTGAGTTCGTATCTCTCAGCAGCTGTTTCACGTTGCTTTGAGGAAACAGCTGGAAGCTCGTAGGTTGAAAAGAAAAGATTTAGGAGAAAAAATAGGACTAAATAAACAAGATGTGTTAATCATTAACAGACAGCTATAGCTTATATTGTGTATTTTAAAATGGATTTAATTAAGCTGGTATTCCTCAGGGCTTGCTAATTAATAAAGCCCGCATCACCGCTCATTTTCTTGAACAGAGATGACTACTACAGAAATGAAACAGTTGCTGCTAAAGGGAAATTAAGTGTTTCTTACAAATGACAACAATTGGACAATGTAAACAAATTTGTGTAAGCTACATGGACTAACTAGCTAATCTGACGTAAGTTTGATCAAAGAATATGGAATATTGATAGAAAAAATGAGAAATGAAGGGAGTCATATATAAGTGTATACAGGTATATGAAGTATATCACATAACCATATTCATATCAACACTTTTATAATTGATTGCTTGATCAATTTTTTAATTAAATATCTCCTTTCCAACCAAAAAGGAGATATCAAGTGGCTTCTGAACAGATAGGAAGAAAACAAACTAATGCGAATGAGAAGTAATTGTGACAAAAAAGTTAAAAGCAAATAAACTGAACCAAATGTGGTTATTAAAAAATACTTCATAAATAGCTGTACTCTTGATAGCTATTGGTAACAAATCTGGTTTTTCTAGCCAAGTAAATAGATTTTTATTTGAGTTGGTAAGTTCATTCACACCCCAACGTTTTATTTACTTACTTCTGAAGGATTTTTATGGAATTGAGAAATAAATGACCTGATGATTAGCTCTTGGGGAGGAAAAGGTGAGAAAAGCGCACCTTTATTAGCTACCAAGACAAGAATCATCAGCTAAATTATATACTTTTTCTATGCAAAGTAAGAATTCAGGTACAACCTACTAATTTTCTCATTGTTAATGGATCGTGGCATTTTTACAAAATGGGTCCACAATGAATGGTGTTTGAATGAAACACTTGATTCAGGCCCTTGCCCTCAAGGTTTTCCATAGTTTTTTTTTTTACGGTAGATGCACAACTAAGAAGAGATATATATCATATGCTTCTGGATATTTTTAGAGTTAGTTGGATATTGGAAAATTAAACAATCTTTCCGATTATGATTTGCAAATTTCTTCATGATTGCTTGTTCTTATAGGTTTTTTTTCTTTTCTGTAACAAACAAAAGTCTTAGAAGAGAATAAAGTATATGTGAAATGTCAGTGTGGCTAGATTAATCCCAATTTATCAGTATGATTATACATATTAGGATTATAACATATAATAACACAAACCTTGTTGGAAGTCTAAGAAATCTGAATGAGTGAATTATTTTCTATTGTAATTATAGAAAGGAGTCATGAACGTATTGCCAGTCAGTCAGGCTTCAGAGTGATGACAGAGGCTACTCATGAAAGTTGTCCTGAATTTACTCTGTTAGACTCCTGTCCTTCCTACCCTCTCAATCAGCAATTTAGTTCTTTGTCCTTACAAAACCAGTCCATTAGCTCCTGTGTCTATCCTCACTCCATCAGTGATCTCTGTATTAACGTTCTCCACATCTCAGTTTACATATAATGTCCTAACACTTAAACACCCTTCTGCTATTATCCTCAACTATCTTGCTTCACTCTCCTACTAGTATGTGGACAATTTGAGTTGAAACAAATCACTGAGTCAAGAAAGATAGTCTAGATATCAAACGAGTAAAATCAGGAACATTTATTGATCAAGTTATTTCAAATAGGTTCTATGAATACACAAAGCTCTTGTTATGCATCTATTCTCTAGCACTTTCATCCATCAGTAAGCCTGGATTAGCGTTGCTAAAGATGTGCTAGGAGGATCCCACACATGACATAAACTCTGACTAGAACTATGTATCTCTTGAGCTTCACCCAACCAAGAGATAACTGAGAAAAGAAAACAGCAAAGATGAGTGTGGGAAAAAAACAAAACAAAGCTAGATATCCTTTTTACTCCTCTACTACTCTCAGAAAATATGTAATTTTATATTTTATAAAGATCTGTCCTAGTTACAAAGACAGAAATGTAACCCAAATTGTTGAGGATAATTTTGACTTTCTTATAATCGAAAAGTCCACGGCAAGAACTAATTTCCAGCATTTCTGGATCCAGATGCTCAAAGATCAAGAATCTGTCTGCCTCTAAATCTTGTTTTCCTAGGTTTTGGATTCGTTTTCACACAGACCCTTCCCATGCAATTGCAAATATGGCCCTAAGCCGCTTTGGAATTCTACTCAAACAGCTTGGCAATTCCAGTGTCTTTGAAAAACAGCACTTTCTAATTAATTCCTTCAAAACTCCCACGTTTCCATCTTACTGTACTTATTTAGGTTACATTTACATTCTTTAATCAATCTCTGTGACAAGAAGAATGGTGTTGCAAAGTGATCAAAGCCAATTTTGTCATTCACGACTACTAGATTCCTTTCGGCAAATGGCAGTTAGAGGCAAGTGAAGGTTGTGGGTCCCTCGCCACAACTTCATACCAGGTGTCAGTGAAAACAAGTCTAGAACATAATCCTGACACAAATACAAGGAGGCTCAAAGTCCTCAGACAAACTGTGCAGTGGCCTCATTAAAGCCCCAGCTTTATTTCTGGTGCTTCAAATGTGACAATAATCTGGCGGCAAGATTCAGCTCACCATACTTATGGGAGTCAGGTAAGCAAAAATCCTCTGGAGTGAGTAGACGGACATTAAGACCATTTAGGAATGAAGCTGAGAGTAGCATTTCTAAGGACACAGATTGCTCTGCTTGCTTGATTTTTATGACCTGTTTATTCAAGGGCAAGAATGTCTCTAAAGTACTTCTACTCAAATCCACACATCTTGAAAACTACTAATTCACTAACGAAAACTCATCTCTAATATCCATTATGTTCACTAACCAGCTAATAATTTTACCTGTAAAAATTTAATTTAGTATGCAATTATGCTAATTAACAAAACTTCTGGTGTTAATTAAAGATAAAGATAGTTGGAATGCTATCATCAGCCAACTTGGAGTTTGGCCTTTGGAATAAAAATCCAGCTAACTATTCTTGGAATCTGCATTCCTTGTTAGGGCAAACTGATCACTCTTAAGGGGTCGATTAAAACTAACATGTACACACATTTGTATTTCACTGTCTGTGCTATATTTTAATATCAATTACAGACCGAGTAACGTTTCTAAACAAACTTCTAAATATTTCAGAGTGCTTCTCCAAATACAAGAATACTTACTTTCATAGCCAAAACAACAGGATAACATCTAATAAAATGGATTACAATTTCTTAATGTTAACTAATACTCCATCCATATTCACATTTCCCTAATTGCCTTAACATATCCTTTGCTGCTTATCTGTCATAACTAAGATCCACACATCACATCTATGTCCCTTTAGTTTTCTCTTCTTCAACAGCACCTCTTTGTGAGGAAACTCTCATGAGCTGTGAAGACTGTCACTTGTCCTGGAGAAGGTTCCACCTCTACCGTCCACATTTGGCTGATCATCCTTGCAATAGTCACTATTTTTTCCCTCCAGTTCCCGTGGTTCCCTTAAATTAGAAGTTAAATTCAAAGGTTTAATTAAATTAAATTTAAATATTTTTAGCAAAAAGATAGTTGTATGTGATCTTGTATACTTTATGTGATATATACTTCATGAAGACTTTTCATGGATTCATTCATGCTGTTGGGGTGGCATTTGTTCCTAAGCAGTTTTGGTAGAAATAGAATTAGAAAAGATAAACGTATGTTTAAAAATCACTACATAACAGTGTTCCTTCTTAATGTCTTTGATTCTTTAACTGAACTCTTACTTTCACACTGAAAATCTTGATTCCAAAAAATATGAACAGTTTTTTCTTTCTTTTAAAGATTGGCACCTGAGCTAACATCTGCTGCCAATCTCCTTCTTTTTTTCTTCTTCTTCTCCCCAAAGCCCCCCAGTTTATTCTAGTTGTAGGTCCTTCTAGTTGAGCTATGTGGGACGCCACCTCAGCACCTCTTGATGAGCAGTGCCAGGTCCGTGCCCAGGATCCGAACCGGCAAAACCCTGGACCAACGAAGCAGAATGCGCGAACTTAACCACTTGGCCATGGGCTGGTCCCTCAAGAGTTATTTCTTTATTTAAAATATAAGAATGTTGCAACATAAAGATATCAATATTACCACTAACAATAGAGCTGTAGATTTAGTTAAAAGATTTTTGAAATTGTATTTGCCTTAAAATGCATGCCACCATGAGTGTATAATTAAAGTACTGTGTTCTAAAGTTATTTATAATAATTCTGCACTCTCTATGTTTACGTGGATACTTACCTATGTGATACTGATATATAGTTAGCTCTATAAAGAATCAATTAATCATTAGAGTATATATTACATATCATGTTTGCACAATAATAATATAAAAATATGGTATATAATATATATATTCATTCCTCTAGTCATTTTCTGCCTTTTACTATTCAATTTTTTAGTAATATTACAACATGCATATTTTAATATATTCAAGTTTTACATTCTTATTTATTATATGGAAATTTAAAGTTTATCTTAAGCCTTTGTATAACTACATACTTTCTTCTTCTTCAAATATACTACATTCTGTTACTAATTTATGATGCTGTGTGTTATTATGCCAAATCTTAGAATGTCTAAATTAAAATAAATCATCTAGTTAGTATCATTTTGCTAAGGAACTTGTTGTGAGATCCTTAAATTCTTCTCCCCAAATCTCATCAGATTAGAAAAGAACACTACATGTGAACACAAATTTCTAGGCTTTTTTGTGATATCATTTTTTAGTCATGAATCCAAAGCATCTCTCCTTTTATATAATTACACTTATATTTATATTTGACTTTAGTCCTTATTTTAATTACTGAAAAATCCTAGTGAAATGTAGAATTGTAAGTTCCTAATGGAATCTAAAATGATTTGAAACCACTCAAAATGCTTTTGGAATCATCTTCCCCCAGAACTTCTTAGGTCCCTGGAGCCAGCCCAGGCATCCCCTTCTTAGGTCTGAATTTCTGATATGAGCTGACACTCAACTTCTGGCTTCTTATCAAAGCTGCATTTCAGGGATGAGCAAGTTTCCACAAGCTGGGTATATATTTTTTCCATTGTAATTCCAACTTGTCTGTGACCAGGATTGCTTTTTAAAAAAATATTTTTGAGCAAATTGTATCGTATAATCTAAGTGTACCATGGTTGGCAGAATCACTTTTGAGGACAAGTAAACAAGAAGATAAAGCAGCCAACCAAAGTGATTGTCCAAAGCTAAGGGACTCTTAGATCTTCTTGCTGATACCAAGGGAAGTGATCAATTGTGAGTGTTTGGGGACTTCCGGAGTCTTAACTTATATCATGTTTATATACAGCACTCTGGCTTGGAAAATGATTCTCAAAGAACAGCACAAGTTTTGAGACCATTGTTCAAGACCAAATACACAGACACACTAATCACTGAAAAAAGTAGCACTAAAATGGAAGAAAATTGTGACACCTTTTTTGATTCATCAAATATCATTACTAAAACTCCCTAAAAATAAATTGTGTGATCTATAGCTTATATTTTTACTGTATCTGAGGGCTAGATAACTTGATAAATAAACTCAAACACAAATGAATATGCAAACTTTCAAGACTGACTATGAATGAGAAGATAACATTTTTGTCTTTCCACTTCCAGCATTAGACTTTTGCATAAACTATTGCTGACACAGTCACAGTTGATAAAACTGATGTATTGAACAATAGAACGAAGACAGATAAAACTGAGGTTGAAACTGAGTGATTACTATTTTTAAGGCTTTATGCAAGCTAAACCAATAAAATAAATGAAATATATCAAGAAAGATGAATTCATCTATGTGTCAATGTACTAGCAAAGATGAAAATAGAGCTACTTTACAGTAAAAATTCTCCACAAAGGTATTTTTTAATTAAGAACCTATGCCTAAAATTAGTGAATAATAGAATACATTTGAAATCTCTTCAGAGCAAAGCAGAAATTAATATTGAATAAATGTCAATAGATATGTAGAGCCATATGTACATAGTCTCAAAAAAAACTTGAACAGAAATTCTAGTTTCAAAACATCATTAAGAAACAGTTTTGTAATATTTGGAAGCAGAAATTTCAATTATCTTGAAAAGTAATTTTAATATTGTTTTCTAAATACTTAAAACTTTTCGTTGATTATTTCACATCTCTCATTTTCAAAATACAGCATTTGAGAATAGTATACACGTGTCTTTTACTTTGTTTCCAAAATGTTTCTTGTGAAAAATATCTCAATAAATGTGTATTTTGGATTTTGAGGGGGAAAAGATAAGGATCAATTTGATCTTTGTATTAATCAGTAACGTACTAAGCCCAGAATCACCTTGCTAATTCCTGCCTTTGGTCAAGTTAATTACCATTCCATACCTTATAGGATGAAATTCACATTCTTGGTTTGGCTTTCACAGCCCACCGTACCAGTCCCATTTCCTTCCCTCTTCACTTTCTTCCCTTTACTACAGTCACAACGAACTTCTTGAATTCTGTGGATATATCAACCATCTTGCACAAAAATATATTTATTCAGATTATTTCCAATGCCTATGTTAGAAGTTGTTTCTCTCCTTCCCCTCTCTCCTTCTCTTTTTCACTCTCTCCCAATCTCTTAATTCTTCTAGAATATAAGGCAGTGGTTCTCAAAGTGTGGTCCAAAGATCAGGAGCATTAGCATCACTTGGAAACTTGTCAGAAATGCAGATTTTCAGGTCCTACCCCCTACCTACTAAATAAAAACTCTGGAGAAGGCACCTAGCAATCTGTATTTTAACAAGCCCTCCAGGTGATTCTGATGAGAGCTAAAGCTTGAGAACCAGTGATACACGGTAACCCGGACAACCCAGTCACAACTCCATATCCAAGCGTCAAGGAGAACTAGAACAACGGCTCCTTGTTTTCTAAGATTCGGCAGCTGATCTAGTAATTCACAGTAGATCCAGTATAAGTGACTCTCCACCTTGGCTGTACTTTGGAAATCACCTAAGGAACTTTTTTACAAACACTGAAATCTGCTATCTCCAGAGATTCTGGCCGGGGTTCAGCCAAGGCATTGGGATTTTGAAAAGCTCCCTGAGTGATTCTAATGTGCAATCAATTTTGAGAATCACTGTTTTCTCAATTCTGTCATTTCATCATTACCTCAGGAGTGAGTGTTCCTTGTCCTCTGCATGCATGTCTCTGCTGTGACTGCAACTCAGCTGTACTCTGCTATTGATCTTTCCTGCTCCTTCTGCTTTTGTCACCCTCTCTGAAGCACTGCAGTCAAAGCGCCGAAAATGGAGTTTCCATCACAATTCAACACAGAATGTTCCTTTTAGAAAAATGCGTTATATCGAGTCATCTCTGAGTTTGCTGTTGTCCCACAGATCTGGTCTGTCGATGACGGCCCTTGGCTAGGGTATTGGGCTCCTGGTCCAGCCAGACATGGACAAGGTAGCAGTGGTGTCAAATACTCATCTCACATGTTAAATCCTTCTAGCTGTCTATTGATGTTTTCAATAAAATACATTGTATTGTAATTATTTGTCAGTGTCTTTTTTCTCCAAGTAGATTGTAGCCTTCCTGATATCAGAGACTGTTTCTTTACCATTTTACATGCTCTGTCAACCCCGCCTCCAAGTTGGATACACCCATAGCACTTACACCCAGTTATCTATGCTCTTATAAATAGACATCAATTTGATGCGGCAATAAACTATTTTCATCATGACTGTAGACCATTGATGAAAAATAAGTGTAAGAAAAACTTTACTATTAAAACTTGCATTAATAAATATTTTTTTTAAAACCTGTTAGAGATAAACAAAAGATGTTAATCATGTAATTATCAGTCACTACCTTCAATATGTAAGCTTCTTTATCTGGGAACTTCTTAGGCAAAATCTTAGAACCCCCCCCAGGCCTACTCCATCTGAATGTGTGTTTAATTAAATTCCCAGGTGATTCATATGCACTTTAAAGTTTGAGAAGCACTGATTTAATTCTCTAACCTATCATTTGAGTTAGAACTATAAATTGTCATAGGTTCATGACTTTCATATATAGATTTTTAATGACCTATTCTGGTAAGTCCTATTTCTTTTGGACTTTAAGTGTTTTTCAGTTTTCCCCCTTAACTGTGGTGAAATCAATAAAAAGAAAATAACACTGAGTTTTAATGAATGCAGTAAATTTGACGTCTATCCAAACATCTACATTTAATAAAAATTTCCTATGTTTCTCTCCCTCATTTTGTTCTTGCCACTTCCATAAAGCATAAACTGCACAGAGAACACACTTGTGAGAACTTCATCCCAGTTCAAAAGCCTTTAGATTGTTATTCCTATAAAGGAATGGCTCTACCTGGTGCCCTGGCCACTTGGTGACTTTGCACATTTCTACATTGGCCATGAAGGCAAGGTTCAATATCAGTTGGACCCAAGTCTTGGTGGGAGGCCTTATGATCTCACCAGAAAATGGCAAGATAGACATCCTCTAAGGAGCTTTCACTTGCCTTTCCCATCTGCCTCTCTGTCTTGGGGGGCAGTCCTAACTTGCTGTAAGCTGCCATGAGTCAACACTCTCCCATAACAGGGCAACCAACCACTGTGACATCTCTCATCTGACCCCTCCATTGTGGTGTCATCCTATGGAATTTGGGAAGCTGAAACTACATTGACATAGCTTACACTACCTAAGTAATAAACTGCCACAATCAGTTGAGGTCCATTGTGTCCTTGTCGGCCTAATCTATGGTAGAATGGCAAGAGCAGCCAAGCGGCTGCTGCTTACACATGCTCAATTGCTTCAGAATGCCACCATATTGAAATTTTGCATATTTTACAGTTCAGTGCAAAATGTTGCTAGATGTTTTCTTCTGCCTCTATTATCTCTTTAGAATAGGAAATCAGGCAAAATTGCCAGAGGATTTTATATAAAATCATAAAAATTTTGAATGGCTTTCTCATCGAGCAACTCAAAGATTGATTTACACTTGAGACCAAACTAACTTTTTGGTTAAAACAATCAAAAAGTAGTCACACATAATTCTATATATGTGTTTAGTCGATACTCTTCATAGTAAAATCAGAAAATGAGGTTTAAGTCTTTCCTCTTCATTTCCTTTTCTCTATGCTTTCTTCTTGGCTGTGTCTCCTCTCCTTCCAAATCAATCACACAATATTAAGAAGATACACAAGAGTAACATGGCTTATATGCACACCTACCCCAAAGATATGTGTAAGTTGATGAGACAAATTTAAAGCAAAAAAAAAAGTAGCACTCTTGGAAAGATACTATATTAGACATAAAATAAAAATTTCAACAAAGTCATCCGTAACATAGCTATTTTCATTTTACATATTAACTTCCTTTTTCCACCTGCTAACATACATTTATACAGTTGTAGTCAATGTACACACCATTTGCATTCTGCTTTTAACTCCCGACTTTTCTCATTTCTACATTATCCCCATAATAATGACTAAAAGCTAGATGTTCTTTTGTATGTACATACTCTCTCATTTTTACATATTCCGTTACTTTTTTATTATATATAACACTATGATTAATATCTTTTGTTCATTTGACTACTATTTTTGCCCCCCTTCGGTGGCATTATCTCCTGGAGGCTGGTTCACATGGACAGTGAATTGATGTTAGCCCTGGATATCAGCCCCGGTTCCGTCACTTACAATATGCTATGATCTTGAGAAATCTCATCTCATCTATAAAATGAGGGTAATATGAAAACATCTTTGTGGGGCTTATGTGGAATTTATATGAGATGCCATATACAAATCTCACAGAGGGCTCTGCAATAGGAAGTGCTGAATAACTATTACATATAGCTAATATTTTTATTTCAAAGTACAAATATTTTAAAATACCAATTTACTAATTTAAAATTCCACTTAGTGCTTATTTCACTTGAACTGTGTCAGCACTGAGAATTAGCATTTTAAAAATAGCCAGGTACACAAGGAAAACTTACTAGTTTAACACTTGTAAAATAGTTCCTTATGTTGTTTTAATGTCACTTCTTTTAGCAGGTGAGAATAACATTTTTTTCTGTATGAGTATTTACTCTTATATTTCTTCTTTTATGAATTACCATTCATTCATTATTTTTATTTATTGAGGAATTGGTATTTTCTTAAAAGTTTGAAAATTCTTTATCTATCATAGTTGATGATCCCATTAGTTTAATTTTATTATTTTCTCACTGCACATTTATTCTTTATGTGTTTGAATTAGGCAAGCGTTCTCTCCAACATTTGCTTTCTCTCTATCCTTCTACAAGTTTCTATTGAGTATAAAAAATAAAGTCTTAATTCCTATCCTATGATGTTTTGCATTTTGAAGGAGATAAACAAACCAAATAATCATTGCTTTTTTTTTGTACTTAAAGGCTGACATGAGGAGAAGAGACTATATTCACTCTCCAGAAGATAAAAAAGGGCTAATGAACATCAACTTTGAACAGACAGATCCCATGGTAATATTTTTTTCTTCTCAATTTTTGTTTTAATGTTAAAGCTAGCCAAAGAAGGGATTAGAATTGCTTGTCAACGAAAGTCATCAACATAAGCTGGACTGTTTACGAGTGAGGAGATTATAGAGGGGACTCAAGTATCAAATGGTTGGTTAGTGCAACCATTGGCATTAAGTCCTTTAGGATTTATTCTGACACAGCAATTCCATGGTTTGTGTAGGTCTCTAACTATATTATTGGGTCTTATTGGTTAATTTTCTCTCTCATATCACTATTTCTACATCAATGTATCATACTCTGCACTGCATATTTTTGTTTTCATGTATATTTCCTCAACTTGATTGTGAGCTCTTTAAGAGAAGAGACTATATGATTGAGTCATTTATGACCTTAATATGTAGTATAGTATCTAATATATAGGAAATAATAGATGAGTATTTGCTGAAAGAGTACAAGAAAACATGCAAGGGAAAAATAAAAGAAAAAATAAATACATGTGTGGATATTTTGTGGGGGCAAAACAATCTTTACGGCTGCTTTGAAATCTCACCAACTAATTCCTTAGATAATGGAAACATCATGGTTTTCTCTTTTTACAAGAAAAGTTCATGTTTTTGATGTATATATCCCATGTTATCAAATACATAAAAACTCAATCTCTAGAAAACAGCATTTAAAGCCTGACAAACCACATGTGGTTCAGTTTATTTTAAGAAAAGACTTGTAAGACAATGAAGCTTCTTTTTTCTCATTGACATCAGGAACAGGAAATAACGTCTCTTAAGATAATGAACATAAGGGCATTTTGCCAAGACATAGCCTATAAAGTTGTAAAATCTTACCTATATAGAACTTTTAATGTTCAACAAAAAGTAGAGGATTCAGTTTTAAAGTGTGCTAGTGTAGAACTTATAGGTGATAGAGAGACAGGAAAATACTGCTGAATAAATCCTGGGAAAAGCTCATTGAATAGAGCAGTCTGACACACTAGGCAGATCCTTTTAGTGAGCAAATGATTTTCTCAGCTGCAGAGAGCTGGCTCTTGCAATGTCGTGTCCCTTCCCGCTGCAGCTCACATCAGTACTCAAACTTGCAGGGACTATAAAGACCTGGCTATCTTAGCCCAACTAGGAATTCTGCAGGGCCATTCTAACTCTAAAACTCGCTGTGAGACTGCTCGAGGTTGTTAGACCCTCTTCGCAATTGTCTTCATTAGCGTGGGCTGCAATAGTGAAATACACATAGACTGGGTGACTTAAACATAAGATATTTATTTCTCAGAGTTCTAGAGGATGGGAAGTTCAGGATTAAGGTGCTGGCAGATTCAATTCCTGGTAAGAACTCTCTTACTGGCTTGCACACAGCTGCCTTGTCACTGTCCCTCACATGGTGGAGAGAGAGCACTCTGGTCTCCCTTTCTCTTTTTTTAAGATACTAACCCAATCATGGGGGCCCCACCCTTGTGACCTCACCTAAATCTATTTACTTCCCAAAGTCTCCATCTGCAAATATGATCACATTGGGGGTTAGAGCTTCAACATATGAATATTGGGGGGATTCAGAAATTCAGTCCATAACAACAGCTCAACTTCTCTGCCTGTCTGATTATTGATTATATTTTCTTTCCTTCTAGTCTTCGTCCTTTAACATCATGCACATAGAAATCCTTCTCAGAGTCTGTACCTCAGGGAACCCAACCAGAAATAGAAATCACTGTTTAAAAGCTAACTTCAGATAATACTTTAGAAAATAATCAACTTAAAACTCTATTTGCTATTTTAAGGTGCTATATAAAATCCATGATGTTTTTTACTACAAGGCAAGTTTGTAAACTTTATATTTATCATCACAATTAAAATGCCATATGATTTCAGTTGTATTTTATAATTTCAATCTACATTTTTCTCCTACCTCAGCTATTTTTTATAAGGCCATATTATTTAATGGTTATTATATCATAATTCAGTCCTAGATTCTTCCCCCAGCTCTACCATTTGTAGCAAAATTTAAACTAATTTTTTGTATCAACATTTCCTGATCTGTAAAATGGGAGTCTAATAAATGCTTTATCTTTTTTGTGTAATTACTGGAAGGTCAAACTTTTGGGAAATTGCTTCATAAATTGTAAAACTTATACAAGTATAAGGAGGATTTTCTTAACAATGTAGAAAATATCTATTGTTAAAACTTACTTTGAAAGAATTTCAAGTAATATAAAAATATTGTATCTGGCAATAGAGCAATGGTTTTCCACAAGAGTTGAACATCAGGATCAACAGATGAATTTAAGTTAAAGTGCAATTTTAGTCCTAATTCATTATATGAGGCCAATATTACCCTAATATCTAAGCCAGATAAAGACACTACAAGAAAATAAAACTATAGCCAATACCCCTTATGAACATTGATGCAAAAATCATCAACAAAATACTAGCAAACTGAATTCAACAGGATATTAGAAGGATTATATGCCATAACCAATTGGGATTCATTCCTGGAATGCAAGATGCTTCAACATACAAACACCAATAAGTATAATATGCCATAGTAACAGGATGAAGGGGAAAAAAACCATGCATCATTTCAATTGATGTAGAAAAATCATTTGACAAAATTGAATATCCTTTCATGATAAAACAAAAAAATTAGGAGTAGAAGAAAACTACCTCAACACAATAAAGGTCACATATGAAAAACTCATAGATAACATCATACTCAATGGTGAAAGACTGAAAGCTTTTGCTCTAAGACCAGGAAGTAGACAAAGATGGTCATCTTTGCTACTTATATTCAACATGGAACTGGAAGAGATTACTGGGAAAATGGCGATGCAGGAAGACTCTGAACTCCTACTCCCATAGACACAACAAATTTACAATTACCCTTGGAGAAATTACCCCTTAGAGAGAACTGGAAACTGGATAAAAAGAACCACCACAACAAAGGACAGTACTGACTGAGGTGGAAGAGGCAGAAATTCCTTTTGAGAGATAAAAGCCACATTCTAGCTCTGGCACTTCATGGCCAGGAACAATCTTAAGATATGAAACTTTCCCTGGAGGAGTGGGGGATCTGAGTGGGAGATCATTACCACAATAAACAGCTTTTGAACTCAGCACAACCAAGATAAGTGTCATAATATCTGGCTTTGCTGGCTACTAACAACAATGGGGAATACCCCCATAAAAGCTATTGAACATAAGAGAAACAAAAGCCTGCTCTTAAAAGGCCCATGCACAAATTCACCCATTTCAGAAAGCAACCTAAAATCACCAGAATGAAAAGTGCACAGTCCTTTGGTGAAATGAGACTCACTTGTTAGGCTCTGGGCACATCTCAGAAAGGCAGGAGGTGTCTGGGATCACCTCCCCAGGGACTGAGACATTGGTGGTAGACATTATTGTGACCTAGCAGAGGTGTGCTGACACAGATGTTCTCCCTCTGGTCTGTTAGTGCAGGGGTCTCTCCCACCCACTAGAGCACCAATTTAATCCAGCTCAGCCAGAGCAGGCAGTGCCTCCTAGGGACTGGCCCCACTCAAAAGCAAACCCTTGGGCAATTTGTTGGCCAGCATGGGCAGGGTGTAGGGGCTCTGCTGCATGGTGAGTGGGTCCACTTCAGTGGGCAGGGCATGCACACAAGGCAGGACTGCATTGATGGGGTGTGTGGGCCTGTGAGTGGCGGGGCTCCTTAGTCACAGAAGACTTGTGCTTTTCAATAGACACATAAGGGACTGGTCCTACCTTCCAATGCCTGAAAAATTGTGTGCTGCCATGCCTGGGGCCAGCCCCACCCAGCTGCACTACTGAGAGAGCTCCAGGTTTGCAGGCCAGAGGCCTAGTGCAAGTGTATGTCCCTGGGCCTAGCAACCAGGCACATTTGTGGCCCACTCACTTAACAGAAAAACTGCAGTAGGGATGTGCTATTAGACCTTGCAGCCAACTGTGCTGGGGCTCCCCCTGCCCAATAAAGTGGTTGAAGGGACCATAGCAGCTGCATGCAGATGAATATTACAGCCAGTTGGCCAGGGGCCAGGCTAGCTTCCCCATGCACCTGCAGCAAGACCAGCCCTACTGCAACAGAAGGACACACATAGCCAACACAGAGAAGACTGCTGGAACATTTGCAACTGGTGACAACAGGGAAGCACACTGCTGGACCTCGTAGACATCTCTTAAATAAGGCTAGTTCTCTAAGATTGGGAGATATTGCTTATCCACCTAATACACAAATATAAGTACAGAGAAAGAGGTAAAATGAAGAGACAAGGGAATAAGATCCAAACAAGAGAATTGGACAAATCCTCAAAAAAGAACTAAATGAAACAGATAAATAGTCTACCTGATAAAGAATACATACTAATAGTTATAAGGATCCTCACTGATCTCGTGAGAAGAATAGATAAATACAGTGAGAACTTAAACAAAGCATTGGAAAATATAAGAAAGAAGCAACCAGAACTGAAGAATACTATAATGGAAATGAAAAATTCACTAAAGGGACTCAATACCAGAGTAGATGAGACAGAATAACGGATCAGTGAGCTAGATGGAAGACTAGAGGAAATCACCCAAGCTGAACAAAAAAATGAAAAAAAGAAAGAGAATGAGGACAGTCTAAGTGACCTCTGGGACAACATCAAGTGCACAAACATCAGTATTATAGAAAGAGAAGAGAGAGACAAAGGGGCAGAGAATCTAGTGAAAGAAATAAAAGCTGGAAACCTTCCTAACCTAAGGAAGGAAACAGACATCCAGGTACAGGAAGCACAGAGAACACCAAACAAGATGAACCCAAAGAGGCCCACACCAAGGCATATTACAATTAAAATGTCAAGAATTAAAGATACAGAATCCTAAAAGCCACAGGAGAAAGGCAACAAGTTACATACGAAGGAAACCCCATAAGGCTATCTGCTGACTTCTCAGCAGAAAGCTTTCAGGCTAGAAGGAAGTGGCATGATATATTTAAAGTGCTGAAAGGAAAAAACCTACAGCCAAGAA